GTTAGAGTATGTGATAATTTCCTAATAAAGAATAAAATAACCAAGTTAATAAAATGTCTATAATCTATAGACGGCATATATATATATATATATATATATATATAGATCAGTCAGTCACAACGTAGGACCAAGCACATATGTGCATTGGTACAAGTTGCCACACCTCATCATCACAACAAGATGAACACCGAATTCATAGGAGTAGTTACTTCAGTTATAGTAATATATAAAAGAAAGATTGCATATAAGAACATAGTGCAGGAAGAAAGAATTAGTTCGTAGAAAGGAAGATATGAGACGATTTTAATCTCATAGTTTAAGGGAAGACATAGAGCGTATACACCTATGCCATTGTGATCGATTCTGAGACATGTCACACAGAGTCTTTAACCATTGGTTACGATAGTCACGCGGATCCCTATCAAGTAATGCGCATCTACCAACATGGTTCACACCAGAAGTTAACGACTTCAAACACTGATGCTACGTTTTGGTTTGGCCGCCCCTACCTTTTTTCCAACCATCCTCAACACTAGTCAGCATTGCGCGTCGTGGTAATCGGTATTCAGGCATATGCAACACGCTACCCAACCATCTCAATCGATGAAGATGTGTGGATAGATAAGTAGATAGTCGGAAATGTCACTTTTTAATAGAATATTTTGTCGAAATGTTATTGGTGTGAGAATAAAACGCATAAATTCATACTTTTTTGTTTAACAAGTACCTATTAAATATTTTCAGATGGTAAATTGTTATTTTTAAAATTGTATTAAAAGACATCTTTCTTTTCTAGGAATTTATTTAACTTCAGAGTTAGGTGATATGAGTTTGAGTGTTTCACGACAGTGGAATCCTTTTAAAAATTACGGATAATTAGTTTTAATTTAACTGGATTTGTGGGGATAATTTACAGTTTGAAGGTAATCTCCTTTTGTGTTGGGCACTTGTCTTATTCTACTACTTTTGTATGAGAACTAAGAGTGAATAAGACATTTTTCAATAAATAACCTAATCGAAAATATATAAGCAACACATTCATTTAGATACATGTCCCTCAGTAAAGTAATGTATATTTTCAACCGATAGCGTATATCTGATTCCCAAAGAAAATTAAGCCCAATTTTGGCCAATAGTGCGTGCCCGTCAGCATATCTCGCACCACGTGACCTTGACCTAACATGCTTGATTAGCTCAGTGTAACATGCTTTTCTTGAATTGCTATCTTTCTGAAAACCACAAACTACTGAATATTTTCAGAAGGGATTGTGTGGAGATCCCGCTCCTCGCGAGATCGTGGATGCGCACTGCTGAGGAGTCCCATACTAGGACGAAACGGCCGTCCAGTGCTTCCAGGTTTTCCATGGTGGTCTAGCTTCAATGGATTCATGATTTCAACTACTGAATATTTGTTTGATTTAACTTCTGTGATCCTAATCAATGAGCACATAACAGACTAAACTAGATCGGAGCCTAAACTATTAGAATTAGTGTCCAGAAAAACGTTATTCATTTAAACGAGTTACAATATAACTACTTCGATTTTTCAACTGTGGGAAATTTCCTATCGGTTATGATACACATTCAAATTTATCGGTGATAACTATCAAGCTTAGGCCTCAACTAACTATTAGGTTGGGTTTTTCACAAACTGATCTCAGTTTTTATACCATTACAAACCCTGAAGGACTGGGAAGATGTTCCATCCTTGTATGAGACGCAATAGACTTGTTGTATAGTAAGAACACAAACTAATGAGATTGATAACAACCATTTCTTCCCCGGTTCTAAACTTCACCGGTTACATCTCACCAAAATTTCAGTAACAATTCAAATTAAGCCATTAATGTGCCAACTATTATAGTTTGGTTTAAGGAGTTTCATGAAGATTGACTTAATTTATAGGATATATTCACCATAGATTGTCCAGCGTTTACTGACCTCCAATGGTTTCGCAACTGAGAGCAATCTGGAGCGAATGCAATCCAAAAATTAAACCAATCTCCACAAGACTTTCAGCTCAATTGATTTCATAAGTCACCAGTTACGGAAGAGTTTTGAAAAACAAAATTATAACTTTAAAATCATCTTTGAATGATAAGTATTAAATATAATTTATTGGTCATATCGTGAAACTCCGAATCCAGTCCTGAGTTCCATAAGTGCCATGATGTTAATTAATTTGTGCTATATTTGATGTGTAATTAATTAATATTATCAGAAATTAGTCAGTTTTCATTAAGTTTTCTTTGGGTAATAACAAGTTTAGTATACATGAATAGCGAGACAATTTGACTGGTAGTCTTTTACTCATCCTGAATTATTGTACAAAATTTGAGTTTAGTAAAATTATAATAACTTAGTTCAGTTCCTCAGGGCCTATTGCAATAAATCAAAAAAGGTTATATATATATATATATATATATATATATATATATATATATATATATATATATTCAACTTGGATAATCAATAATACTATGAGTTGTGTGACCTTTTGTTCCAGTATGCCTTATTTCCATAAAATATGAATTATATTCATATTGTTCTTAATTATTCCGCCAGACAACTAAAGATTGTAGTGGATTAGCAATTAATCCATATCAGATTGTGGAAATTTTAACTAGTTCATATGAAGAACATCTCAAGAGTAGATTCATGCTAAAAATAGGACTAATCTAATACTAAAAATAATGTCAGTTAAATAAACATGACTTATTATTAATTTATATTATCAATGACTTGAAAACAGTGATTTCAGTTACTTTATGAAATTTGCCTGTATAAATTATACTTGTTCAAAATGACGAAACCATATTATAATAAATACACATAATTTAATCTTGATGTGATTTTTACCAAATCTAACCTCTTTACAGTGAACTTTTCATATTAAGTTTCCTAGAACCTTAATCATTTTATATAAACTTATATCGTCGTACACAGTTCACAAGAGCTGAACGTTACATCATATGATTTATCACCATTTTCTTGATTTAAATCATGATTTTGACCTTGAAATTTTTCATATTATTGATCATATATTAATTTCAGTGTTGTTGTTACATCAGTGGAGGTAATCGGAATGGAACCTCAATACTCCTAGGTTTCTTACTAGTCAATACTCATCGGCAGAAAGTACCTGAAGTCTTAAACAAACGGATGACTTCTGTTAAATCAGATAGACATAATATCGATTGCTAATCAGTGAATAATCATCGTAAAATCTAACCTCATTAATGTTATTCTCTCCCCCCCCCCTCCGAAAAACGTTTTATCATCTATCACGAAACATTTAATAGAATTCTTTTGAACAGATCGTAAAACAATTCACTAGATAATTGCAACTTTATTACAAAGTTAAGGAATTAATAATTTTTATAGTAACTTTGGAAGTGATTGGTAGTAGAATCCAAGACATTCATTTAGTCCTGTTTGTGATTCGTTAACTGAATTTTCCCTCATCATAATCTCTATTTTCATTGCCTATGCTTTAACTAGACACCTTAGCCCTAAATATCAATAATCGAAAGTGAAAATGCTATACTGTGGAAAAGAATGCTGATCAACATTATTATAGGAGTCCTACAAACAAGTTTATTAATTATTGTATAAGATTAATAAAAAATTTAACTTTGTAAGTTGACTAGAATGAAAGCAATAAGTGAAACAAAACATTATGACGTTTACATAGAATTGATGGAATGTCAACAGTAGAACCCAGAATGTGCGTTTCGTCCTAAACTGGACTCACCAGTTACATGTATTAGCATCCCAAAATTCATATTCATTTCAAATCACTAGAAATTAAATTAAAACTTTCTTAGATTTCATAAATATTTGTCAGCTGCTTACAATCATAGTCAAGTATGAGAAAATCTATAGTTCAGATTACAAAAAGAAATGGCATAATTTTCAATGATTAAAACGGATGATTGTTATTACTTGATTAAATAAAGATTATCAATGAAGTTGTTTATATGAATAAGATAATAAGAAAAATTTAATAGGAAATATGAAGAGAGAGAGAGATGAGATAAACTATCTATAACACGGAAATTAATGGTATCAATTAAATTAAATCTGTCAAAGAGTTCTAAAGGATTTATTCAACTTAAAGAAAAGTTCAAATGAAATCATAGATTGTTAATACAAGACTAACTAAGAAGATAAATAAGAGTTTCTTAAATTAACATGATAATAAAGAACTATCAACTGCTTCCAGTTTGAATACATACTTTCGATCAGATTTATTTTATGATACCAAAGATTTGCAACCAGTTTTGTTCCTTACTTATCTTTAAACAATTTAAAATTGTTATTGAACATAGCTGAGTTTATAACAATATCTCCAATGTTCAATAAGTGTGTTTGGGAGTTTTTCCATGAATTTAGTGAATGAGTGCTGAATACTGGAGTGTAATATTCATTAAAGATTTTACTTCATCTGTTTGACGATAGCTTCAATTGTCTGCTATGAACATGTTAATGTAGCACAATGTAGCATACCAGGTGAGAAATACGAATATATATTGACATTTTATGCTTGAAATAGAATCTCCAATGAAGATTACACAAAAATATACAGTACATAACCACTAAATGAACGAAAAAAAATAGCTGAAAGTCCTGGGTTCAACACATTCATTGGACATTGGGAAGATTGCTCATAAATTCATCCATAAATATGGTCACTAATATTTTATTGAATATGTTACTGAATTCATCATAGTTTATATCGTAGACAAACACTAGACAGACAACCATTGAAAATTTTGGGACACTGGACAGCTGCTTCATTTTAGTGTGGGATTCCTTAGAAGGGCGCTCTTATAACCTTATCGATTGTCATTGTATTAATATAAATGTCCTTATCACATTGTTTGCTATACACAGTAATGATATCATGTTAAAAATCAATAACGGCATAAATAAATTCAAACATATCAAGTAATCAATAAAAACAAATAAATGATTAATTATAATCCATATGTACTTACTGGATAATAATCAGATATACTATGTGATGTAGCTGGACGTCGATTACCAGCTGAACTGAGTGATATCATATAATAGTATGATATAAGATAGTATTATTAATGATTGTAATGAAAATAGTAGTAGTACTAATAGCCCAGACAAGAATAACAATGATAATAATAATAATAATCCTATTTGTTATTGAATATCACAGAAGATATTAGAAAAATATAATCATAGCTTCAGTGAAATTATATTGTTTAATATACATAATAATAAAATCGGTAGAGGAACAGATAATCTCACGCAATAAAATGCCAATGATAGTAATAATAATGTTTAATCCCTATAGGATCGTAAATCATCCGTGAATGGAAATTATATTTCGTTCAAATGATCATTGAATCATCTTTCCTATATGCTTTAACTTGTGCATAATAAGTATTATGTATTGTTATGACTATAACTTATGTCTGTATTGTTTATTTATCTTGTCTATGTTATTAAATAACTATGACTGACTAATCCAATTCATAGATGACAAATTTTAAGGTGTTCCCAATTTCTTTAAGTACACTTTTCTTACCTATCTCCCTTCCCCATTGAAAGGATAACTTTATTTACACTAAATTATGTAGGCCTTTTCCATTGGATTTCCAACTTATAACTCATTTAATCAACCAATAGAGCTGCATACAGTTTTCTTTCAGTTACTATAACAACAGATTAACATTACATTTGTTTTGTTTCATTTCAGAAATGTTTTTTTTCACCTCCTAAAACTAATAAAATACATTTGCATAGACTTGACAGAATGATAATTTTGATACTGACCGGTTAAATTAAACTTTATGAAATAAAGAGAAAATAAGAATTTTACTTAAGTAAAGAAAATGGGAAGTCATATATGTGCATATATAGTCAATTTATACACCTGTACACAGGTGGTTAGAAAATTTCATTACTTCAACATAAAAAGAGTAAATTGATAATGAAACCAAATGAATCGATAAATAATAGTAGACACCATGTACTGACTGACTAGTTGAAGGTACTCAAAATTTCTGAGGGAGAAGGAAGAGTAGGGGGATGTGGATGAATTGTAGAAATGGTGAAATTTCTTTATAATTTTTATTTATTTTAATGATTACCATGACAACTATGCAATATATAACTTAAAGCATTTTCCTGTTTTCGCTATTCAATCTTCTATTCTATCCTTTAATGAAGGCAAATGTGTATGATATAAATAAATAGTTGATAGATCAGAATGATATGCATATTTTTTGACTAAATTTGATGTGAAAATGAAGACTACAGAGATGTCACCATAGTGAATGGATTGACGGAATATATATATGGCTGTGAAACCCGACCTAAGGCCTCCTCGTGGCACTGCTGGATAGTGGGGGCAACCCTGCCAGCCAACTTAGGCGGTCACGGAGATCGGGCAGATCTCCCACTCCGTTGTATCTGACCAGTCCTGGTTTCTATATTAAGGGGTTACTTTACTGCTCGGGCTAACCGATGTGTTTGCTTATGCATGAGAATTGCAGAAGTCCTCGAAAATATGTAGTTCAAGTATATAGGTATATGCAAAGGGTATGCATGCGGTATCGTACAAACGAAATGTTGGGCTGCAAAAATATCTGTCCTATATCTTATAAAATCAACGACCTATCTATCAGGTAGAATACATAATAAAAAGAGGTGGTAGCAAATTGAATATATATATATATATATATATATATATATATATATATATATATATCAGGGCATTTGAATCCTATTTCATGTAATTACAGTTTGAATAACTAGATTGCAGTCATTAGGTCAAAATCCAGTATATTAATTTATACTTAATTATTGAAATGCATTATTAATAAAAAATTCTATTCATGATATGACCCCCAAATGCCCTGGTACGGCCGAGAGTGAGGAGAGTCCGCTCTCCCTCTCGAAATGCTCTCACATGGCCACGCGTACATAGCCCCTGCCAGGGAAGTCCTACTCACTGTCTTCTCGTGGCCGGCGTGTTGTTTACGAAAATGAGAGGACGAAAAGCGAATGTCCAGAGCTTTAACCGGATCCCAATTCAATGGTGCACATGGGCTCCAGTATCCTGCGGGAACAAATGGCGTATGAACCAATCGTTGGTCACCGGCTGCCATGGGACTGCATCTCCTCACGATGCTCCACTGCCTTGTGGATCAGATCTTCAGGTTGAAGGTTCGGGGTGTGGCCCCCTAAGAAAACCACCTGCTTCGGTTTGGGCACCCGGGCAGTGTCACAGCCCCCACACATGTCCAATGAGATGTGTGGCGCATATGTATTTGGTGCCTTCTTGTACCGATATCTATGTGTTAAAATAAATAAATAATATTCATGATATGATGTGTAGATTTGATATCATTGTACTTCATGGATATCAAAGAGAGAATAATCTTATCATAAATGGATAAGATTTTGAAGTTATATGATTAGACTAGCAATTATTGAGTAATAAGTTTTCTGGTCTTTTGTTCAATAATCTAACTCTCCAATTTCTAAATAAGTTTATTCAAACAAGAAGATAATCTGGAAAATAATTTAACGGAGAGAATTTTCTTTTCAACGAAATCATTTACTTCAGTTGCACATCCGTATTAATAGTTGTTTGATAAATATAAAAGCATGGGGGTTTGTGGAAATCGTAGTAATTTTTCTAATAATTGAATTCACGATTCTTTTTAAGCCAAACCACTATTGAAATCCTGGAAGCACTGAATGGTCGTTTCGTTCTAATATGAGAAGCCGTGATCAGCAGAGTCTAATCCTTGTCAGGTAGAGGCAGGTATCTACCTCAAACTATGAATAAATGGTTGCACAAGATCATGGATCGATTGAAGTTAGACATTAACACCGTTGGATGCCGACTCAGTGGTCTAGAGGTTAAGCGTCCGCACTTGAACCGAAGGTCCTGGGTTCGAGTCCCACATGAGCGATCGTGGATGAGCCCTGCTGAGGAGTTCCATACCAAAACAAAATGGTCTTCCAATTTTTCTAGGTTTTCAATGATGGTCTAGCTTAGATCAACTTATGAATTCAACCATTAAAAGAATATATGTCTGTAGAGATAAAAAAATATTGCATAATAAAGTGATTCGAGGCTCCATATATCAAATGGGGTCGCATAATAATCCTTGGGTTAGAGAAGAATAAGGGGATGAAAATAATTTTCAGGTAGGAATTATGACAGATAATTGTCCACTTAACAGATGTGAACAAGAGTGTAAAACATAAAGTTAATAATAACAATTGAATAATAATCACTATAGGATTGTGGAGATTGTTGAGTATTTATTGAGATTATGAACCGTTCAATGTTGGACCGCTAATGAATATCTAAAAGCACTGGATGTCTTTTTCATTCTTACATGACACTCCTCAGTAGTGCGCATTTATTACCTCGCGTATATGACTTCAACCTAAGCCCTTCGGTCTTTTTCAAATGCTTAACTCCTAGACCACTGAACCAGCATTCAACAGTGTGAGTATCTAACTAAAATCAATTCAAATATTGATCTTAATCGGATAATTATCATGAAAAATTTTAAAGGGATAGACATATCTACGTAATAACTATAACTATAAATATACAGCTGAAGTAAATAATTTTGTCGTAAGGAAAACTTTCTTCATTGAATTCTCTTTACATTAATTCAATAATACAATTGATTCCTTGAATTATCTAAAGAAGATAGTCATCCAAAAAAATTAATAAAGTCAGTAAAATACATCTAAGTGATTAACATTTTTCAATAACTGCATAAAATGTTAACTTAGTGTCTCTATATTTTTTTTTAAAAAAAAATGGTTTCCTTTTCAGCAATGTACACTTTAGCCCATGTTTAATCGGAATCAGCCATTAGGTTGCCAAGTTACTGTAGCTAGAATCAATTAGTCATGTGTTTTTGTTGTTTTTTTATTTACTGTTACTAATAGTTACATAAACGTTTAATTCTAAACGTTTGCTAACATGAAATAAATATACATTTTCCTGGTTAATTGTATGAGTCAACATGAAATGAGGTAATACGTTGATGTATAGGCTAATACTTAAAATTGAAAATTATTGGTTAAATAATTCCTTTCAAATTAATGGCTGATTGATTAATCGATATTGATTATCAGATGAATATTTATTGTGAACATTGATTTCTAATGTTGTTTGATATTAGTAGACTGACAATTAGATTAAAGTATATGATAGATATGAGACGATCAGAATCACTAAAATTGCTTCCGAGATTTTGAGTTAGATTTAATAATGAATGACTTTTATCTTATATAATCTAAAACGAGTAGTAGATATACTTGTGTATAGTGCATAGAAAGTTTAAAATAACAATGGAGAATTGTTTATTGATATCAGAGGATAGAAAGTTTAGTGTTAATCTTATTATATGGTCAATTCTTCCAGTTGTAGATTGCGTATAATACTCAAATCAATCCTATCTCTAAATCCTAATCTTATATATGTATGCCTAAATGTCATGATCTTAACTCGTACTAAAGATAATGCGACAATTCCTAAAAATCTATTTAGGTAATTATAAGAGTTTGAGAGGATCAATTATTTATTTCCATATAGAAGAATTTCAGTTATTTTATGAGTTACTGACAGAACAATCTATTACAGACTCTAATAGCTTCATTAATTATAAAAAATCTATTCACCCTTCAAAATATTATTACCTATTTTCTATTGAATGTTTATTTACAAGAGCTGTTTTTTAAGAGGCCAAAAACTAGCCAAAATTCATCACTGTTGTTTTAAGCTTGTTCATAAACAAAAGTCTTATTGAATGCATTAGCATGAATAAATTCTCATTTAAATTAACAATATTACGTAACTATAATTTTACAAAAACGAAGATGGTAAAACTATTAATCAACGTCTTGTGACCACTAAAATATAGCAGGGTTCTTTACTTCTGTTGAGGAACACCTTTAACTTATACTGATTGATTGGCTGGAAAGCTATTTCAGAATCGCTGAAGCTCATTTCCCAATCTGTCATAATCCATCTTCAATGAATACATGTATCTTAACCTAATTAGTAGAGTCCTATGTTCACTGTTGATTATGGCTTCGAGATGGACTTTTCAAATTTTAGTGAAAAGTTATGTAAAACCAGTAACATCAAGAGTAAAACTAAAACTCATTGATAATATTATGTGATCCTTGTGTTATTCACTGAAGTTGTAAAATATATCCGATACAATTTTGTCTTTGTAACTCTATGATATCATACTCTTCACTAAACTTGAAAGCTTCGATTTTGATCACATATAGGTTCTTCTGTAAAATCTGCTGAAGTTTTTTTTGTAGATATATTGTTATATGATCAGTACAGTGAAAATCTTGATTAAAACCAGTCAGATCAATTAAACAATCAATTTACACAGAATTGTTCCATATTAACGAACAAATCTAGCTATCATTATCATTTACGATTTTAAGTTAAAGTTTACTTGTAACATGGTTTTAGTGTGCATGTTTAGTCAGAGCAATGAT